AATTGAAATATAACTATAATAATATACTAATATAGCACTTGTAAATTATTGCTCTTTTGTTGGTTTTGATTGCTTCTATTGTCCTCATTTGTTAGTAGCTTTGGATAAAAGCATTTGCTAAATAACAAAATTTTAATATAATTTAAATTTAAATAGCAAAACTACAATTTTTTTTTTTTTTAAAACAAGCCCCAAATCAAATAAATAAGTAAAACGAATAAAAGAAATCTCTTCATATAAACAAAATAAGGTTTTGTCTGTGCTCTTTCCATTTAAAATTAGAGGCAACCACTGCATTTTAATAATGATCCAAACAAAGATGCTGCATACATGCAACATGAGCAGTTTTTAATCTAAATTTGATTGTATAATTTCGAAATTTGAAGCAAAAACAGAATGGTTTGACTTCAGTTTTGTGAAATTATGCATAAAAAATATCTGCATGAAACAGAAACAGCAGAGCTGAATGAGACGCAGATTCACGTTTCCTTGGTTTCCGCTATAAACAAAGCAGCTCTGCACTTATGAATTTTAATATGCATTATACAGAATCAAGAGGAAAAGAAAAACCATCGAAAGACAGTAAGTTCCCCTCAGACATACATTCATACAAACTCCTACCCCTAACTGAATCGCGATTTGTTTAGCATCTCAACCGATTTGAATTGTCACATATTTAAATCGATTTTCAACCGGCTCGCGGTTAATCGTTACATCCCTACCTGCATGGCTAACAACATGCAGGTGAAGTCACAGAGATGTTCTTGGATGAATAGAAGTCATCACAGCTCATGACAGAAACAGCTGTACAACACTTTTCCTCACACTCCATGACCAAAACAACAAAGAGACAAAATGTCACTCATCCTTCAGCTTGGGGAGAATGTTACAGCGGTCTTACCCAATTTGAGCCTTTTGTTTGGACTTGGATGACGTCACAATCCGGGCCTTCTTGGAACTCTTATTCTTGCCTCTGGACTTGGAAGAACCGGCCCTGTGACTGCGGTGCTGCGACGAAGAAGACGGGAAGCTTTCTGGACTCATGACACGTGGAATATTTTTCTCTCCCCTCTCTCGTGCTTTGGCGATGGCCTCTGAGATTATTCGATTGGCCTTCTGTTGTTTATCGTCCGAAAGGGACAACTCCATCTGCTGTTGCTGCTGCTGTCGCTTCTGTGCCCGCTTCTCTGACACGGATATGTACGAGGATGATGAAGAGGAAGAAGAGGAGCTGCTCTTCACTGGTGGGCTGAGTACCCGCGGCTGGCTGCTGGGACCATTAGTGTTCTTAGGAGGCTGTGAGAAAAGAGAAAAAGAAAGATATTACCACCCAAACAAGATATCAATGTTCTCCATAGGACTGGCTTCATCTAGAATTGTTGTGTAGGCAGGACTGTACAGGAAGCCAATCGATAGGCTTCTATTTCAGGATTTGGTAATTCCATATGCTAAACCCATGATGAACAATACACTATTTAAGATACCATGATGCCATGTAGACTAGTCTGATGGTCAATGTAAGGTCAATGTAAGAGCACTATTGGACAAGAAAAATAACGATGAGCTGAATTCAAGAGCCATAACATTACTCCTCTAGTCATGACCTAGAAAACTTGGACTCAAGCGGATGTAAATACTTTAATAGGTTTCTTATTAAGGGGGACAAAGTCAGTACAGTGAAACAGTTACTCTGCACATATGATTAAAAAGGTTCCGTAAGCTAACTTCAAGCACAAGAACCTCACTCTAAAACACAGACCTCCAAAGAGATGCCAACAAACCAGAATGTGCAAAATCATTCACAGGCGGGGTAAGTTAACAGCCGCACCCAGCCAGATGCTGGTAGTTTTACACACAGTGGCGGCTAATTTTGCTCATCTACGGTGGTTCGCTTATAATGTGCATTGCAAAAGCAAAGCTGATGTCTAATTGTTTAAGAAAATGTGCCTACTATTTGTTATCATTAGAGTCAAATCTAAACTGGGCTTAAAGGGTTAGTTCACCCAAAAATGAAAAGTAGCCTGTGTTTTACTCACCCTCGAGCCATCCTAGGTGTATATGACTTTCTTCTTTCAGACGAATCCAATCGGAGTTATATAAAAAATTGTCCTGGCTATTCCAAGCGTTATTATTGTAGTGTGTGAGTGTTTCTCTTTAACAGTCCAAAACACTTTAAATAAAGCGTGCGCATCCATAATAAAACGTGCCTCACACGGCTCTGGGGCGTGAATAAAGGCCTCCTGTAGCGATTCCATGTGTTTTTGTAAGAAAAATATACATATTTCAAATGTAATAAACACTTTTCTCTCACTTCTGCTGATTGTCGTACGCGGAAGCTCTTCCGGCGGATGACGCAGGACATATGTGTAGCGTGCGCGCCTCTGAGATATGCTAGTCTCACGAGTTTGTTTACAGGAGCAAAAGAAGCAAAGTTTCCTTACTTTAGCAAAGGAAAACCAGTCTCCTCTTGGCTTATATCGAAATCCTCCAACATTTTTCTTTACAAATCTTCGGTTTGTACTTCTAATTCATGACCGGCGTTTTGTTTTGTTCTCTCTCCACTAATCACGCAACGCCGACGTCCTATGTCATCCGCCAGAGCTGCTTCCACGTATGACAGATGGCGAAAGTGACAGAAAAGTGTTTATTACGTTTGAAATATGGATATTTTTCTTACAAAAATGCATGGATTTGCTACAGGAGGCCTTTATTCACCCCCCGGAGCCGTGTGAGGCACGTTTTATTATGGATGCACGCACTTTATTTAACGTTTTGGACTGTTGAACAGAAACACCCGCCCACTGCAATGATAGAGCTTAGAAGTGCCAGGACAATTTTTAATATAACTCCGATTGGATTCGTCTGAAAGAAGAAAGTCATATACACCTAGGATGGCTTGAGGGTGAGTAAATAACAGACAAATTTTTAGTGATGAAAAATGAAGCTTTGCGAAGCACCGAGGTTTTCTCCTCAACTGTATCGCAAAAAGGTTCATTACTCGAAGCTTTTCAAGACGGTGCACACTAACGACATCTTGTGGTCAAAAGGTGGAAAAAGCTGCCTTTGCGTCCCCGACAACCCAGCCATTTTTGAACGGTTCCAGATAATAAATCAGTTTGTGCTATGAAAACTTGTACAAAGCAAAGAAAGTATTACGTCCATATAAATGTCTTTTACATGTCAGTCATTGTTATATACAATATAGGAATAAAAGGGTCTGTGAATAAATTTGTGTAAAAAATAGGCAAGGATACAGTATATGCATATGATCAAAATAAAATAAGATTATCATAGAATGGTCAGCTGAAGTGCTTGTGAAGCGGGAATTAATACAAAATGAACATGCACAAAACCACACGTGCAAATATTTATTCGTTTTAGGATTTATTCTTACCAAAGAAGTGAGTGACACTTGAAACTGCGCAAGTGTTTCGCGTTATTTGAATCAGAATACGAAGCAGTCATGTGGTTGTGTGCGAAAATGAAGCTTCGGACGTCACAGATCACGTGGTTTTGGCTAAATGAATCAAGCTCCGGTACAGTGCTTCACTGCAAGATGCTTCCTTTTTTTGATACAAGCTTCGAAGCCTCGGTGTCAAACGTCACATCACTACTAATTTTCATTTTTGGGTGAACTAACCCTTTAAAAAAAAAAGTGTAAGACAACAGTGTAAATGGAAAGTTAACATGTTAAATTCATAATGTAATGCGTAGAGACTGATACATGCAGATTGTTCATATTTTGTTCTGTTTTGTGATGCACATCCAAGTGAAATGAATTATCATTAAAAAAACAGAGTGAGGACTTGGTTTTATTCATTGGTTTTGATGATTGAATGCAGGAATGTGAGCTTGCAATCGATTTTAAGAAAAGGAAGTCCATTTAGGTGGACTAAATGGTCAGAGAAGTCCATCATGCATCAACAGGGAGAAGTCTGTCTTTTCACCGGAAGATCCAGTTATATATAAAAAAATAAAATAAAAAAAAATGTATGCATGAATCAATGGTTAATATAAGATCACTACGTTCATTCAGAAAATACATTTTCCTTTCATGCTGATTTTAATTAAAGTGGAACAAAAGAGACCAGAGATTGTGTTAGTGCAAAAAGAAATGCTTTTTGGCTCCACTTAAATTGGTCTTTGTGCATTTTTTTCCCCCAAATCACAGTCAGTTATATCATATATTTGAAATGGGGAAAAAATCTGAGTGGCAGGTTAAATTGGGAATTTTGCCAACCATTTTGCCCAGTGGGCAAAAAATTAATTACATACTTTGTTGACAGGCAAAGAACATTTCTAATTGGCTAGCTTACTGATTGGCTTAAACATCTTACTCCCCTGATTATTTTTTGCAGTTACAGAGTCTAGGGTGGATGCTGAGACAGGTGTGATTTCTCACGACACCTATTTCAATGAAGCCTGTCAGGTTGTAGAGATACTTGTGCTTACATAAACTCAAATACCGTTCAAGTGTTTGGGGCCATTCTTTACCCAGCTCAATACTGGTTGAGAATTTAATAAGCACACTAGTTACTTCATGACCTCGCCAGCAGACTAAACGTAAGAGGAGGTCCAAGATAAAAATCCTCGGAGATCCCATCTCATCTGATTGTTACTCAAGCAGTGCAGCATGGTATGCCTGAGTCCACCCACACATACTGGATGACAACATGGGAAATCTTTCATCTTTGAACTGCTGCATCATCAATGTTCCCAATGCCTGGGTTTCATAATATGCACTGCTATCCATTCATGTGGCCAACCAGCTATAGGGGAAGGTAAATGAATGGTTTGGCTGACTGCACAGGCAAACGCAGCACACCACTGGGGCTGCACACACACACATATATTCACCATTTTATTACTGGTTTAATCCTCTAAACATCAGCGATATCATTAGTAAACATAAGTTATAGGGGTGTTAATAAGTCACAGTTCATCAGAATGACATCACACACTGATCAAAGGTCAAGAGACAAAATCTTCAACCTGAGAGCCTGTCTATTCACATTATCCACCCCCTCACCCCATGAAATAAAAAGACAGCCATGTATAATTCACAGCACGATCATATAGCAGGCCGAGACATGCCAACTTTTATTATTCACGCCTGTTTCGCTGACATCCAATCTCCCTTTTTCCTCTATTTCTTGCTCTCTTTCTCACTCGGAAAGCAGCTAAAGTGAGTTTGAAAAGAAGGAGAAAGATATCTTATCTTTTACTTTATTAGGTTTTACGTTGGCCAGAGCAATGTTCCAGTCATGCCAATAAAGCTTTGTTGACTCAAAAAAGAGACAGACATCAAATCGGATCACCCAGCCTGCGCTTTCCTGACGGCTAAATAAAGGGAATTATCTGGAAAGAGTGAAACAAAAGAAAAGAGAGTGGGGGTGGGTTATAAACACTAACTCATTTGGTGGCTAAACATGAGCCGGAGAGCAGAGCGAGCTCTCGTGAAATATTCACATTAATCCATTCGAGGCGTGAAGGGGTAAATCAGCAGAAATGGAGAAAAGCTATAGGGGGAAGGGCGGGAGAGCATATGTGAGAAAATGAGTAATATAGAGAATATGACGCGAGAGAGAAAGAGAGAGAGAGGGGGGAAAATGCAGCAAGCCATGAGCACTGCAGCTATGTAACACATCTATAAATAACTGAAATTACAGGCTGCCAGCACCGCAGCGATTTCAATCCCTCTCCACGCTCAGGTCATCACCGTCTCCGTTTAGAATGAAACTATGTTGAAGCAGAAAAACCGCCAACAAAAGCCTTGCCCTTTCGCCGTTTTTTTTCTCTCTCTCTCTCTCTTGCTCGCTCACTCCCTCCTCCCTTCTCTCTCTCTCGCTCGCTCACTTTCCCTCTCTCCCTCCCTCCCCCGGCAGGTCCGTGGCTGAAGAAGCCCTGTTCACCTCCTCCTCCTCCCCTGGCCGGGCTGCATGGAGCCGCGCTTCACGGAAAACGAGGGAATGAGGAAGAGACAGAAGCAGCCGCTACGCAGGTCCGGGATTCTCTCATTCTGCTGCGCTCAGCTGAGCTCGGTCTATTCTTTTCCCTCCGTCTCCGTTTAGAATGAAACTATGTTGAAGCAGAAACGTGGATGCGGCACTGCCACACAATGCCTGCTGCACACATGTGGCACATCCTTCTGCGCCTCGGTCAACGAAAGCAACGAAACAGGAAGAACCGACAGAGCCAGAGAACATGGAGTCAAGAGCTAGATAACACAGCATTCCCTGGTAGCACACAAGCGAAAGAATAAGTAATGGAGAGAAGCAGTTAGCACAAGATGGCGG